ATATCATAAATGCAAAATAAAATATAGTATCTAGATTAAACTAGAATAATAAGCAATAAAATCAGAATCAAAGGGACTGAGATGTTTTAAGAAATAGCCAACTTTGCCATCCACCCAGGGATTGGGATTAGACAGGTGGCTTAGTGGTTTAGAGTGCTGGCTGCTCTTGCTGAGGACACAGGTTCACTTCCCAGCATCACATGTTGGCCAGTAGCTCTGTGAGACTACAGTTTCAGTGCATGCAAGTCCTCTTCTGGCCTCTGCAGGCGTGGCTTGACACAGGTGCACTTACACTCATGCAGGCAAAACTCTTATACAGATAAAAGTTTATAAAAGTATAAGAATAACAACAATTTATAAAAAAAAGTCTATTTCAACTAAAAATATATTAATCTGCTGTAGGAAGGACACAAACTTTTTCTTCTTATATGAATCATAACTAATTAAAAGAAAGATGAAATATGTGTGTTAATATCAGATTATTGTATGGCACACTGAAAATTGTAATTTGAGAGAGAGTTTTATCAGGAAGGTTCATGTATTAGAAACATCTCAAATGTGAAATCCATGCTTGAAACACAGGCAAACTATTTATTTATTTATTTATTTATTTATTTATTGGAGATCAAGAGAAGAAACACAAAGATATTAGTATATCTTTATATACTGATAAAGAGTGCAAGAGAAAAACAAAAGTTAAGTAGAAATACATAAATCAAATATAGGTTGAGAAAAAAATCATTAAGTTTGGAAGATGTTTTTGCACAATGATCAGGAAAATTGAAGATAAATGTTAAACTACAGAGAGCTAGAGTGCCCCAAGATGACAAAAGATACATATAAAATTTTTCAAACAAGAGTAGCCAAGATAGCTTAGCAGATAAAGTTCTTGCCACCAAACCTGAGTTTAATCCCTCTAACCCACATGGCAGGAGGAGGAAGCTGGAGTTATAGAAGGTTGTAAACCACTTTGTGGGTGATGGGATTCAAACACAGATCTTCTCCAAGAGCATCCAGTGCTCTTAACCACTGAGCCATCTCTTTGACCTCCATACTTCATTTAAAATCCCACCTAGTATTATAAAAAATAACTAAACAAATCCAGGATATATATGTCTATATTTTCATATATATATATATGAAAATATAGACCCAGACATTACAGGAAAAAAAATCTGCAGTGTTTCTTGCAAACAGTGATGTCAAAATTAATTGTGTGTGTGTTTTATCTCAAATATGTATGTATACTTGTTTAATATTTGAAAGTATAATCATCATTTTAGCAAACATTGTAGTCAGCTCTGTTGACAAAAATAATACTATTTAACACAGTATTAAATGTATTTCTGATAAAAAGGTCTTAAATACTTGAAACTAGTTTTATGAAAGAAGTAAACATTACAATAAAAGCAAATATATTTGTATTGGATGGTAAAGCACTTTGTGATTATAAGATTATAAGTGATGGAGATAGAGACATGCTCAGCAGTTAAGAGCTCTGAAAGCTCTTGCAGAGTATCCATCTTCTGACCCCAAAGGGCATTGCATGACACAGGTGCACTTACATCATGAGGCAATACACACATACATAAAAAATAAAAATAATAAATACAACTGTTTTTAAAAAGACTACAAGCAATTTAATTGTTTCTCTTCTGCTAATTTCTAAGCAAATTGCTTTGGATCTCCTAAGCAATGAAATAAAACACTGAAAATAAATTCAAGGTTTCCATATTGAGAAGAACAGAAAAATTGCAAATAATCTTAGAAACAGGGTTACTCTTGTAAAAAATATGACAGTCATGCATATTCTTGATCAATACTCATCAAACTATAAAATATTACTCATAACAATCCTTACAATTATTAAGATTGACATAATCTTGTAGAATGAACTAGCCAGTACGATTATATCAATTCTATTGGCATAGACCATCCAATTTAAGAAAATCCCAGAAGTAGTTTATAGAGAATGACATAAAATGCAAGAAATCTAAAAATCGAATAACATTGAAGAATAAATTTTTTATGGTGCAGACAATGACTACCTGGTATAAAGATTTGGTACAATACTCTTCCTATGATATAATATTTCCATAACATTCAAAAATATAAGCCATTAGAAAAGAAGGTGGCCAGTGATAGGCCTATACATGTAATAAAAGCTGAATTTTACAAAGATATAAAATTAATTTGATATAGAAAAAGACACCTTGCAAGAGATAACACTGAAAGCCTTTGCCATCCATGTAGCTAATTCATTTCTCTACTGTGTACAAATGAAATTAATATAGAGTACGTAAGTAGTGCTGGAGATGCTGCTCAGTGGTAGAGCATGTGTATAGCACACATGCGACTCTGGATTCAGTATCCAGTATATAAACAAACAAAAATAAAAAAAAACATAAATACTATACCTATATTTTCAAATCAGCTATAAGTAAACAGTACAACAACACTGAAGCCTAGAAAGAGACAATGAAGGTTTAATCTATTTCCTCAGAATCACAAACATTCGTTTATTGAAATTCACTTGAAGGGAATAAAAAAAATGTAAAAGAAAATATATCAAGTATCTGATAAAGGGTTTATATGTACAAAAATCAAAAGCAATGGTGCCACCACATAAAATTTTAGGTACTACATAAACATTTCATTAGAAATGTAACTTAAACAAAGAAAAAGTGTGACATCATTAGATTTAAGTGAAACCAAAAATTAAAACAATGAGATCTTTTGCAGTTTGAGTAAAATTGTCAAAACTGAAAATATTAGCAGCAACAAGTATTGGTGAGAATGTGTAACCACTATATCCCTTGTTTATTTGATGGCTATTAAGTACTGAAAATTGCTTTGAACAACCTGTCAATTTCTTTATAAAAATACTTTAAATCTCTATGTATTTCTTTTTCTTGGTGTTTTTAACCTAAAATACAAAGACATTGGTTTCAATACAGCACTTTCATATGTATGAGTTATTAAATTTTGTTCTTATTCCTGCTTCTGGCCCAATGCCTTCTATTCACCTGCACCCTATCTTCGTTTGCATCCTTTTCTCCCTTCAAACAGTCTTTCTTTTGCTTTCATTTCCTTGTAATCCATTACCCTCAATTACCCTTTCTTTAAGCTCATTTCTTGCCCCTGATGATCCCTTTTTACTTTGGTTATCTGCACACACACATGCACACACACACACACACACACACATACACACACACACATACACATATTGGCAGCTTCATAATGTTGAACATATTTGCAATACTCTTTAAGCAATACTCTTCCATGCACTTAGCCAAAAGCACTGCTATCATATAATTCAAAAACTAGTATGCAAACTAAATGTACATTTTAATGTAAACATGTATAAATATATTTTTAATGTTTGAGTATTGAAATATAAAAATCTCAATCTTTAAGACATAGTTATGCACAGTGTGACATTTACATACATGCCAGCAATACTCAGGTATCAGTGTAGAGTATTTACAAGCACAACCACCTCATACCCCCCAAAATTTTTCAAGATAATTATAGCCATGAAAGAAATGCATTTTCATATAAATGAATATACAATATCTACACAATACCTCCCCCCTCCTAAATAATGCAAGCTAAACTGTATTTAGAAAAAAAATGATGTAATATTTTGCCCTCAGGATCCGGCTAATCTCAGAGAAGGGTAGAAATGAGTGTTGTTAGAAAGAGAAACATGAAGCTTTTTCTCCCTTTGAACAGTGCTTAACACAGAGCCTCACAATTAGTCAAAATGCAGAGAAAAAGTGATAGTACAGTGTTCACCACTATATACACTGTTTGTATCAATTCCCTTCCCTCCATGACTCAAAGAACATCATGGAAGAAAAAAACAGAAAACAGCGTCTTCTGGACATGACAGAGCCATCGCACTCATGAAGGTACAGCCTCTATGGTAGCTACACAGTATCTTTATGAGATTAAGCAGATCAAAATCCCTACGTAGATTGGGGAGAGACTGTAGCTGATCAGTGCTGTAAGAGAAAGACTCGATTTTTTTAAGGGGTATTGACCCTGGTAGAGTGCCCATGCTCCAGGGGGTGACTCTATACATATGCACATACATATGGATGGCAATAATCAGTCTCACGGGTATAAATAAAGAAATATATAAAGCTTTAGGAGAATGTTGTAAGGGGTTTGGGGATCAGTTGGGGATGTTATATGTATGAAATTTATAAAGAATGAATATACTTAAAAATAAATATACTTGGAATAAGGAAGATTATATGGGGACTTTATAGAGTTAAGAATGGGTGTTTGGGATGTGTTTATTACTGAGATTCACTACACACTATTATGCAGCATAATTTTCATTATGTGTCTTAAAATAGATTTTGTATTCCCACAATCACAGGTAAAAAATATGGCAACCATGGACCTTAAGAATGGGTAAGCAGTTAAAGCAGTTTCTGCTCTTTCATATAATATGGATTCTTTACGAGCACACACATGGCATCTTACAACCCCCTTTAATTCTATTTCCAGGTGATCCAAAGCCATGTTCTGGCCTCCATAGTAAGAATCATTCATTTCTAGAAATATCTAGAAAGAAGTTTCTATAAAGTTTATATGCAATACATTTATTTCTAGATATTATTCTAAATAGTCTGATTTTCAGATATATCTTGAAAGTAAATACCTTTTCTATTTTAATAAATCAGTTTTATTTGTACATTGATTTGATGTAACAAATGGTCAACAGACAAGTAGTACATCAAATGTCCAATTTCTCAGTATTATTATTCCTGGTGGACAATCACGATAGTATCTAGTTTGTTATGTTCTAAGACTCAAATGAGTTAATATACTGAGACCAATTAAAAGACAGTAGAGTAAGAATGGGTGCTTGGGATGTGTTTATTATTGTGATTCACTACACAAAATTATGCAACTTAATTTTCTCCATGTGACTTCAAATAAATTATATAGTTCCATAATCTTAATATTTTGCAAGTACTTACTTTATTAAGTTGTTCATGGCATCTGGGTCATATGCTGTGACTTGTCCAATGATGCTGCCCTCCTTTACATCCTCATCTACTTCCATCAAATAAGAGAGTTTACTGAACACAGGAGGCTCATCCACATCTTCCACAGATATTTTCAATATGGCTGAGTCTTTGAAAGGTCCCAGGTGTAAGAATCGAGGATCAGGGTGAGTATTACTTGCATCCACTCTTAAAGTATACAACATTTTTTTTTCAAAATCCAAATTCTGAATTAAAGAAAATAAGAAAAAATTTAGGATACATTTGGAAAACCTATGAATAAATGAGAAATTGAGTGCTTCATAACTAATTTTACTAATACCAACATGCTATGGCTAAGCAACTTCCTTAATTACTGATTCATAAGTATATTTAATTAAATGAATTTTTGTTTTATTTCAATTTATTTATAGAGTTCACCATAATGGATTACATAACAATTAGATACACTGAGTAATTCACTTCATTTTTTCAAAGAAGAGATAGTGTTTTTTAATTTATATGCTGATTAGGCACTACTATTACAGAAGTTCAGTAAAGTAAAAATCAGAAGGTTGACTAACATGTCTAGAAAATAATTATTTGCATTTCATTAATTTATTTGTGGAAGAAAAAATACATGAAAGAAACGGAATGTAAAAATAATTAATATTGAGTTGTATTTGTCTGTATAATGTTTCAAAACATTCAAACGTTTCATCAAAATTATCCAAGTCAGCACAAATCAGAACATCATTTTGTTTCACTTATTTACGTGAACCATCACACAGCTACAATATTTGGGAAGTGTATGAAGACATACTGATGGATCTATGTTATTTTTTATCCCACAGAGATATGCAAAGTAAATATTCTTTGCTTTAAATTTAGTTTGATTCTTTTCCACAATAAACACAACCATTTAAGCATTGGTAGCAGAACACTGACAAAATTTCTTCACTTATTTGAAGTGAAATAAGTTTTGACTGCACATTAAAGGTGATGAAACATAAATCTATGTTTGTTGTTCCCTCTACTGAAAGGTAAGCATAAACTGCAAAGCAGTCAGTGAAAATATGAAGACAGCTAAAAGAAACCTGTTTGACAGTTATAATCCCTTCCTGTGTATCCTTGTCAGTGATGACATCAAACATGTCTGCTCCTTCTCCTTCCTCAATGCTGTACTCCAGCTCAGCGTTTTCACCCATGTCAGGGTCATTGGCCTTAATCCTTCCAAGATGGGTCCCAAGAGGTGCAGACTCCAGAGAATTAAATTGATATGTACCTGTAATTTAAATCACAGCCACCTTGGCATTTCATTTTTAGATGATGGAAAATTTCATTTCCTCCCTTTTTTACTTAAGCAAAGTGATTTAAATTGTAAGACTTTTCATCATATTGAACTGTAAGCAGTGAACAGTTATAGATTTAAGTGGAAAAATAATGTATGAAAGCAGAACATTCAGTATATAAAAAATAAATATAATTTCCAGAAATAATAAAAGATTTTTCAAGGTTATTTAAATAGTGCATGGAAGGCTGCTATTAGAATCCAGAACTTCTGAGTCAAGCAAACGTGAAAACTATTTATTGCTGTGCACGGCTTTAAATATTGTCATCACTCAGTTGTATGTACTTAATATTTTGAATATTACATATTTATTATTTTACTCTAAACTGATGATTGAAAAATAATTCCCAAACAGCAATAACCTTTTTATTTTTGTTTCTGCTTATAAATTTTAATTTTATGGTTTTGAACTATTACATATTTTTTGCTGATTTCTACAGATCCAGCCAAACATTACATTTCATTCTGCCTTCATTTAAAAAAATATTTTGTTTTGGAACTGTCCATAAATGTGTAAAGAAAAAAGTATTTCAAAAATAATTAAAGATACAGGTTTAAACATTTATTATTTTGTGAACACTTTATAAAGTCAAATGCCTCCTACAGAAACATATTTAGCTGTCGCAAAGAACAAGTTATGGTAAATTATCTTCAGTGGCCAGACCCTAGGAATTCTCTTGCAGACTTCAGAAAAGAGAATGCAAAACTCAGTCTCTCTAACTTCAAAGTCTAATCTCATTCCAGGTCCTTTTATGGTTAGGAATAGAAAGTTATTTCCACATGTTTGAATTCTTGCCACTGAGTAAGTTAGCTCAATTCTCTAAATTTTATGTAAGTTCCTAGTCAGCAAAATAATGATCTTCATGATACAGATGTATTAATAGGTTTTTTATACGTATTGCATGCCATAATTTTGTAACCCATTTAGTTCAGGGATCAGTTCCCCGAAATTTATTAATGTTATAATGAACTCAGAAAGTATGTTATTATTCTAAAAAATCACAGGACTGTAAAGCAATAATTCAACAATTTTCCTTATTTAAAGAAACTGAGTCAAAAGTTTAGGTGACAAGTAGAAAGGAATTTACTTATTCAATCTTTGCATGTCAGTTAATTAAATACCACTAAATTTTAATGGGTCATTACATATTAAAAATTATCAGTACTAATAAGATGTTATCACAGGGGCTGGAGAGATGGCTCAGGGGTTAAGAGCACTGACTGCTCTTTCAGAGGACCTGGGCTTAGTTTCCAGCACCCACATGGGGGCTAACAACCTTCTGTAGCTCTAGTTCCAGGAGATCCAACTCCATCTTCTTATCTCTATAGTAACTGAACAGTACAGGTCCACTTACATATAATCAGGCAATACATATTATGACACATAACACATGTTAAATAAAAATATTATTTTTTTAATAAAACATGTCATTATAACCAAAGTTTCATGATTTTTAAAAGAAACTGACAGAATATTAAAATGCTATCAATTTAACTGAAGTACATTGGTTTAATATAGATCCTGTTTTTAGAGAGGGTAAAACATAGTTTGTGTTTTATAATCCATTAAATAAATGTTTATGATATCTGTATACAAATTAGCTGAGATGAGAATCCTAAAAAACTTCAACTTTAACTCTAAACAAACTTGAAAGCCTACATTCCTAACCAAGCTGGTCAGAAGGGCAAGATGTCTACACAAATGTGAAGACATGGGCTTGCAAAGCTGTGTAGCTCATCAAGAGCTAGAAAAACGCAACAGTGCAAAGGAACCTGGTGTGCCTGTTCCATACCTCCTGAGTGATGTTCACCACTTCAAATTTTGAAGAAATTGTTACTTTTGATGGAAAGGGGGAGAGAAAGCTCAGATTTCTTTCAGTAGTGGGACTAAGAAGCACAGACACTAGTTCTGTTTAATGTTAGGTTTGTGAGGCTGTCCATGAGCTAGGAATAAAGCCTTCCTTACTCTGTGGAAATCGAGGAGGGTTATTGTTGACATCGGTGAGAGTGATGTTCACTGTAGTTGTACCAGACAGGCCTCCCATCTGGCCTCCCATGTCTTTGGCCTGAATAACCACCTGGTACTGTTCCCGGTTTTCTCTGCTCATGTCTGGCAATGCAGTTTTTATTATGCCTTTCAAAAAAATAAATGGAAAATTAAAACACTGACTTTCAATTAAGCCATGCCTTACAAGATACATTTTGTAGAAATTAATTTTAACAAATAGAGAAAATGTGCTTAAAATCGCCCTTCATTCCACAAATAGTTTAACATAATTCACAAAACAGAAACCATTCTGCCAGTGAACTATTTATTGTGTGGTTTTGGTACAATAATTTAATTATTCTTATTAAAATTTTAACTTAAGTCAATGTTTTTTGACAATCTAACTTTGCTTAATTTCTATAAATGCAACACTGTTGTTTTAAATATTTCCTCATTCTACAATTTTTGTTGCGTCTCTGAAATTTTACATCTAGTGAGTATATACCCAATACATCATAGTTCAAAGAACTGAGGAATCAAATACAGTGTGTTAATGTAAGGATGTTTACATTGATTTCCATGGAATATAGGAAATGGCTATATAACAGAATCAATGGGGTTTAACATAATGAAAACAAAGTAGAGTAAATTTATATCCAGATAGATTAGATAAGAAAAAAATGACAAAGACGTAAATGTTTTATTTACCTGACTCTGGGTCCACTGAAAAATATGGCTGCCCCTGCAATATGCTATAGACCACTTTGGCACTGTTCCCATAGTTAGCATCATCTGCATCCGTGGCAGTCACTTGTATGACAGATGTACCTGCATCAACCCCCCCCAAACATAACCACATGCATCAACATTGTGTAGTATTTTAGAAAGTCATTTTCCATTATTTCTTTTAAATTAAAAATTCTATGATTTTTCTTTTCACCATATAAAATATTAAAATATATAAATTGTTTTCTTAAAGAGGAACATAGAGAACTTAATTGAAAATTTCAACAATAAGAGACTGGAGAGATGGCTCAGTGGTTAAGAACGGTGGCTGTTCTTACAGAAGACCCGGGTAGGAATCCAGCACCCACATGGACTCTAAAAACTGTCTGTAACTCCAGTTCCAGGGGCTCCAACAGCCTATTCTGTCCTGCCCGGGCATTGCATGACACAGGTGCACTTACCTACATGCAGGCAATACATGAATACAAGTAAAAATAATAAATAAAATATCAAAAATGAAGAAAGAAAATTTCAGCAATAAAAATATTGTGAGGAGCAATTTTTTGCCAAATATAATGTGCATGAAATTTACAATTAACTGTTGAATGAAAGTGTTCAAAGACAAATCCAACATTTCTAATCCTCCTCCTGCCCTTTAACCTAGTGAATTCTTGATATGTTATAAACAGAATGAATATATACATATATATATATGTGTGTGTGTGTTTTGTTATTGTGAAGAATCAAACAAAATCACCATAAAATTATACTGTAGATTCATATTTACTTGCCAGAAAACTTGAGTTCTATCATCAGAACTAAAGAAAGAGAAAAATAAATAAGTAAAAGAAGAACATGGTAGGGATTGAACTGAAAGTTTTACTTGTGCTAATGTATGTAGTATTATTTATTTTCTGAAAGTTGTAAATTAGTAAATACTAATGAATTATTGAGCTTTACACAATTCTTAAATATGTAAAATCATGAATTCCTTATTTGTGGTATTACCAATTCTATTTTTCTATTTAATGAAATATCAGTTTAAATTTTAAATTGCACAGCTAAAGACAATGGTGTTTTCAGTTTTGAGTTTTTATTATTTTGTGTGGAGACAGATATTTTGTATTCTCAGGACTTCGTTTTGGGGCAGATGGGAAAGGGACCATATTTATTATGATTCAGTTCAATGTGAGAAGGTGATGGAAGCGAGTATTCTCTGTGCATCTCCCTTTAGCCATTGCACATTGATTCTCCTCCTCTGCCTTATGCCTCAGTAATCATTAGCTTGAGAAGAGGCAGGAGGGGTAGAGGGAGTGGAGATGCTGCATCAGCTTTTGTGCTGTGGGGACTCCAGCAGAAGTGAGGTTGATGCTACCAAGCAGTGTAGTGGAGACAAAAAGGGCCTGTTAATCTGATGCAGAGAAATTTAATCATTTGATAGATCAAAGTTTCTGTTTTCATTGAAATATATTTTCTGTGGTCTGGGTCATGTCTGGTAGTATTCAATATTTTCTCATAAGACCAAGCAAAGTATCCAGCAAAATTCATTTCACTCTGTAGAACACTTAGCTAGGCTGAGCAGAATTGTCAGGATTTGATGTGTCATGTTACTGAGGCCTTGTGGCATGTGTAGGACACATGATTTTGGGGAACACATCACAAACCCAGTGATAAGAAAGGAATTAGACTGACTACTCTTGGAAAGGTAACAAACAATCATTTTAAATGCTTTACGCAACAGACAACCAGGGATAACATAATCATCCCATGAGTAGTAAGCCTTTAAGAGAGGGCCTCAATTAGGACAGGAAGTGTACATAAATTGAGTTGTTTGTGAGAAAACTACCAAGGAATACTTGTTTGGAAATTGCTAGAATGGGGAGGAGTGGATATATTTTTCAGCACATTTAGAACTGTTATCTGGGCATTGCAAACATATATATCCTCGACTGTGAATTTTATCCAACAGCAATTTAACTAAAGATGAATAAATGAAAATATAGAAACTTGATAGAATCATGTTCTTCAGAAATTACAATAAATGGAGTTTTACGAGTGTCAGGGCTTGCCACTAACATTTTAATAAAAAAATATCCAGTTTTCTACAATGATATGTCTTCATATATTTCACATATCCAGATTAAAAGTTCTGATAAGATGCTAATGCAACATAAATTTCATGAGTTAACTGAAATATAACAATTTAAATAAAAAACACTGCTATGTGATTCTAAACTGAAATGTTATTTTTGACAGAACACAACAATGGCAGGGGCAATTTGAGATATATTGGTTAGTGAGGGAGCAAAAGAGAGAAATACCTTAAGAATTGATTCACGGAAAAGATTTCATTTAGTTCCATGCACTTCATTTTCTTTGAAAGCTAATGAAACATAGGTTCTTAACTCAATGATTTAAATGAAAATACCAGAATGAAAAGTATTTGAAATAAATAGTTATTACTTCTGATAAACTTGCATTATTTATTCTTTGATTATTTATGAATTTAAAATGGTGATAAGTGATTGATATGAATTAAACAATCTTTATATAACAGACTTAATTTTCTTCTCTGAAATGATTTGCTAGTACAGGTTATAGAAAACAAAATGACACAGTAATCACAATAAGTTAATCTTCTCTTTATAAAAATACGAAAGTTACAACAAAGGTCATGAAACAGCATTAGGAAGGATGTGTCTAACTTTTAAAAAGAAATCTGTGTGAGAAGATTTATATAAAAGTGTCAGTGAGGCTGGAGAGATGCCTGTGAGGTTAAGAACACTGGCTGGTCTTGCAGCAGACCCGGGTTCAGTTCCTAACACCCACATGGTAGCTAAAAACTATCTGACCCTCTTCTGGCAGATGAGGGAATTTTATGGCACATGTGAATTTACATAAATGATAATAAATCACTTATCCAGATAAAAGTTTGAAAAAATAATTATCTAAAACCATACTGAGAAATGAAGGACTTTCACTTGTTCACATTTGTATCTAATTTGAGAGTTATATTCAACAAAATTAATGAATGGGGACATGTTTCATGTTAACTTAGAATATACTAAATCAGATAATTTTCAAAATAAATTTTGAGTAAAAATTATAACTAGCTAGTGGAAAAGATGCATTAGGAATATTGAATCACCACTTCACTTCTGTTTGTGTTTGTGTGTGTGTGTGTGTGTGTGTGTGTGTTGTGTGTACTGGTGTGTTTGTTTTCTTAAATTCAAAATACTGATGAGATGAGTGTAGTTTGAGGCAAGACATTTTCACTTACCTATTTGTACAAAACCTGAAATAGCCAGAGGACTAGGACACCTGCTGCTAGGTGGTGTTTCTAGACATGATCGACAAGTTACACCTATGAAATCGGAACAATATAGTTTCCGAAACAAGACATGTGTGATGACACACCAGGTGATATATCAATGTACCTGGGGCAAATTTCACATGGTCCTGCCTCTAAATGAAGAACTATAGGCAATCAATAGTTACTGAGGGAGATAGAATCCTAAATGGTTAGCTATAAAAACATATACATACACCACAAATCAGACATATATATATATTTTTGTATTTATATGTATACATATATGCAACAAAAATAAAGAAAAGGTCACACAATTGAGGAATTGTGGAAGAAAGTGCTGGAGGAGAAAGGGTGGAAATCATATACAGTACTACATGAAATCCTCAAAATTAATAAAAAAATCGAAGTTTTTTTCAGATATAAGAATAATTGAAAAATGAGTTATATACAATAATACTTTCAAATATTATAAAATATTACCCAAAACCAAAAGTACCTGAAAATACAGTTCAGTTTGAAGTTTATCAGGAGATTCTAATTTTACATGCATTTTCATCTCAAGAATAAGTTCATAGAGTTACCATGATGTGTTGCTAGTATACCGCTATGGAAATATACATCAATCCAGGAAGTGTTAACCAGCCAAAACTCATTAAACAGTATTGAAGAAAACATAACAACTCATATTGTATATGAGGACTTCATGATTTCAAAAACTCTTTTCTAAATGCTAAGACCTTTATATGAGTGATGATCATAAAAGGCAATCACAATTTATTCTCAAGTCAATGAAATTTCATTTGCAGTTAGAATAAATAACAATTTCTTCACAAATAATTGGTTCCTCTAAATTGATGGCAGTCATTGTTAAGCACATAATGTC